CCTGGCAACTCTGCTTCTGTATATTCAAGGGCAGTATTGAGAATGGTGCCCGGCACATACTCAAAAAAAATAAAAAATAAAAAAATAAAATTCATTGCTATTGAGTTGATTTCAACTCATAGTATAAGAATAAGTAGAACTGCCCCATGGGGTTTCCAAAGCTGTAATCTATATAGGAGCAGACTGCCATATCTTTCTTCCATGGAACACCTGGTAGATTTGCACCACCAACCTTTTAAGGCTTCTAGCCTGATACATACCTACTTCTATGAGTCAATTACAACTCATAGCAACTCATATGGGGGTTTCTGAGACTAAATCTTTATGAACACAGGCAGCCTCATCTTCCTCCTGAAGAGCAGCTGATGGGTTTGAACCACTGCTCTTGCGGTTAGCAGCTCAATATCTAGCCCACATGACCCCCAGGGCTTCTTGCCTGGCACATTTTGTTGTTAAGTGCTATCAAGTCAGTTCTGACCCATGTTGTTGTTGTTGTTGTTAAGTGCCGTCGAGTCAGTTCTGACCCATAGCAACCCTGCATAGGGCTTCCAAGGAGCGGCTGGTGAGCTTGAAATGCCAACCTTACAGTTCAAACTGGCCTTGCAGTCCAGCACATTGGTATTAAGTGCCACACTGGCATTAAGTAAATGTTCATGAGTAAATGACTACCAGTCCACTTATGGGAGGTGAGAAGTGTGTGACTACAAGACATGGTGAGGAGACTGAGCCTTCAGAGCCTTCAGAACTGTAGTTTCAAGGTGCTGCTCTTACCTGCAGCAGGACCTTAACGCACTGTGGCTGGCAGGAGATGGTGGCCAAGTGCAGGGCAGTGCTTCCTGAAAAGAGACAGAAGGAGGGTGGGTGGCCCCACGCATGGTGATGACTCACAGGGAGGGAACGCAAGAGACGCACAGATAATCAGAGGGAGATTAGAGAGAGAAGCTCTCAGTTACATGGGGCCAGAAATTCCTGTTCCCCAAATTCCTGGCACTTAGGGTGGAGGTGGGAGTGGAGGTGGGGTGTGCCCAACTTGAAGGGAGGGGAACCCCTGGAAGAATGCTAACCAGGCTTACTGAGGGGAGAAGCAGGGGACCCTAGTTGGAACCTCCAGCAGCCTCCACTGCTACTGCAAAGGGAGAAGCAAGCAGGGTGGCCGAGCGCTCCATCTCACTCACCGTCCTCATTCTTGCTGTTGATATCCGCCCCACTTGCCAGCAGTATAGTCAGACACTCGGTCAGGCCTTTGGCGGCTGCCAAATGAAACCTGCCAAAGTCAGGGCCCACAGGCAGCAGGATGAAGGACCCAGAGGGTGAGGAGTGGGAACATTTTAATCAGCTCTTTCTGCTATTCTTTCCCACCCCAAAAGCAGAGAGTTTAACTTCTGATAAAGTGAGAGGAAGCTGGAGGTAAAGATAGAAATAAGAGCTGCAAGTTTTAAGGAATCTCAGACTACAGCAGGAGTGTACAGGCAACACATAAATTACCTGCTACTCTGGGCATAGGACCCTCAAGAGACCTGAAAGTACCACAGGAAGAACCCGTTGGAGCAGAGCAAAAGGCTGGACATTTGAAGGCTGATTTGAGCAGAGACAAGGGATAACATCACTCACTCTAGTCATGTGACTCCCATGGCTACCACTTCATTCCTAACTTCCCAAGCACACACACCCTCCTACTTGTGCAATGAAGAAATACTAGACTTTATTTAATATTTGTATTAGTTTACTGTTTGCTTAGTGAGCTTTATGTTCTTGTATTAGTGTTGCCTGTTTGGGTTGTGAGGTGAATGAAGGTCAGGGACAATACTTCTTCCTTCACTTTGTACAGGACTTGATACTCAGCTAAGATTTAATGATGGGCTTTCTAGCTAAGACAACAAAAGGGGCTCTGAAATTGTAGGTATTCCCTGGTCCTACATCATAATGGAGTTCGAAGGGAACTAAATAGCAGGATTGGGGTCAGAAGGACTTACTTACGGGGACTGGCCGTTCGAGTCTAGTTTGGTGGGTCGGGCTGACTTCCTGGAGGCCAGAGCGGCCACGCGCCCCACGTCCCCCCGCTGCACTGCTTCCAGCAGCTTCTGATCACGGCGGTTCCATCTCTCCACCTGGCTCAGAACCACAATTTGTATGAATAGGGGGATGAGGATGGTGTGGAGAAAGTAAAAAAGGAGATGGTCAGGATGCCAAGCAAAAGAAGAGAGGCATCCCTTCAGTGTTCCACAAGTCATTCAGCATAGATTCATTCCTTCATCCTTCTTAGGTAGACTAACAAAATAGTCATCAACTCATAGGTCACTAAGAACTATTGGCAGTTATTGCTAGCCCTGGGCCAAAACAAAAAGAAGGTACCTGGATGACTGAATTAAAAATCATTTTTGAGTGCAGAATATATAGTATTTCAAGTTTCTTCTTTTATCATCATTATGAGTATTGGTGTTCTTAGGTTCCTAATTTGGAGCAATTCTCATCCTTTTTCCTTTAACCTGTAGGTCTCCTGGAGCAACTGGAACCAACCTGACCAATCTGATTGGGCTCTCAGTGCCTTTCAGTTTCCCATGATGCTCTGCTTTTTGTCTTCAGTTATTGCAGCCTAGAAAATCCCATGAAGCAGTTCTACTCTGACACATGAGGTTGCTATGAGTTGAAATTGATTTGATGGCACCTGGTAGGGCACTGCGGGTTAATGCATTGGACTGCAAAGTCAGTTTGAACCACAGGGTCAGCAGTTTAAGCTCACCAGCTGCTCCTCGGAAATCCTATACAGGGCCGCTATGAGTGTGAACCAACTAGATGGCACTTAACAACAACAGGGAACCATGGTGGTGCCATGGGTTAAGTAAGTGTTGGGTTGCTAACCACAAGGTCAGAGGTTCAAACCCCACTAGCTGCTCCATGCAAGAAAGATGAGATAGTCTGCTTCCGTAAAGGTTTATAGCCTTGGAAACCCTATGGGGCAGTTCTACTCTGTCCTATGGGGTTGCTGTGAGTTGGAATCAACGCTATGGCAATAGGATTGGTTTTGGGTTTTAACCATAGCAGCAACAATTTGAGAAGTCAATCAATGCACCAAATTTCAGGTCCTGCCAGGAGTCATCTCTACCTGCTGGCTTTGGGCCACAGAACTGGGAGGGGAAACAGAGAGTTTCTGTTTTCCTATCTCGTATCTATGCCGTTTAGCTAGCCTCCTTTCCCTTTCCATAGCACCAACCAGAAAGCAAAGATAGGACTCCAGCTATTCTTGAGGCGGCAGCAAGAGGCAGCTCCCTTCTTTTCTCTCCTCTCCCCTCCCTCCTAATTTCCCTGGCAAGGAACAGCTGTTTTAGACAATAGCCACACCTGGTCTGTATTGTTCTATCACTCCAGCTTGAGTTTTGCTGGTGGTGGGAGTAATTAGAATAATTGAAGTATCACAGGGCGTGAAAGAGAGAGCTGTGTAAAAACACCTTGGACTGAAAGCACAGGAAAACCTGGTTTGACTCAGAGAATTGCAAAGAGATGAACAAGGGATGCAAAGATCTATGCTAGAGTGAAGGGGGCCTAGGTGAATGTTTTGTCAACTGTCCTGGGTTTGGGGCCTGGTTGAGCTACTTTCTTAGCTGTATGACCTAGAGTAAGCCACTAAACCCCTCCAGTCTGTTTCCTCATTTATAAAACATGGGTAATAATAACTACCTCATCATGTTGTATTAAATGAGCTAATGTATATAAACCTTGGTAAATTATAAAGAATCATACAAATGTACGGCATCCTTATAACAAAACAGGAAGTGGTGAGAGATTTATGATGCACATGCCTTCTTCTGAGGTGTGATCTCAATAAGAGAGAAGCCGTGGGAGGAGGTAGAGAAAAGTAGGGTCTATGGAAGCCCAATAACTCAATTTCAAATACTGTTTATAAAACCAAGACAAACTATTTATCAACAGGAAAGATGTTAAATGCCCAACCATAAAATTATCCAGGGTAGATTCTGAGGTCATATTCCTGTACAGCACTTATAATTCCTCATAACTCTTTCAAGAGCTATTTCAATTAACCTCTCAACATCCCTAGAAAGTAGTTAGGGATGGTATTATTATACCTACTTGGCGGAAGTTGAAGCACACTGAGGTCAGATAACTGTCCCGGGTCAAACTACAAAATAGTGATAAAAATGGAGTTAGAACCCAGCTGGTCTAATAGTCAATCCTAGTTCTTACCATTGGACAACACACTGGACAACAGAACTACACAGCTGTGGAATGAAGTTTGTTAATTTCTAGATAAACAGCCAAAGACTGCCTCCAGGGAAAAGCCACCTACTCTGAGACCCTACTCCTTGCCTAGAGAATAGTCTCCAAACAGAATAATTCTCAAAGGACAAAATAAGCCCAAGGATTCCTCCACATTCCAACAGACTCTGAAATGTAAGAACACATTATTCAATACCCTTGGGGGCCAATTCACCCCCCAGAAAAAACAGACCTCTACAACTATACTTCCATCTCATGGCATGTCTGTCTGCTGACCTCAACATGAAGATCTTTGTTTAAAATCCTGACTCTGCCACTTTCTATCCCTGTGAATTTAGGCAAGTAACAACTTCTCTTAAGAGCCCTGCTGGTCCAGTGGTTAAGCCTCAGTTGGTTTTCCAAGCTTTTGGTTAGCAACTGAGTGCTCCCTGGGAGAAAGATATGGCAGTCTACTTTGGTAAAGATTGTTGTTATGTGCAGTTGTGTTGGTTCCAACTCATAACAGCCCTGTATAGGATTTCTGAGGAGCAGCTGATGAGTGTGAGCTGCTGACCTTGTGGTTAGCAGTCCAGTGCTTATCCTACAGTGCCACAGCAGGACTCCTTTGTAAAGATTACAGTTTTCCATTTAAGGTGTAACTTGTTCTTTCCCCATCCAAAACAAATGAGATGAAAATCAAAGATGCAAGGAAATAATCTGATCAAATGACTAATGGGCCATATGAACCCCAGCCTCCATGACTGAAAAGAACTAGACAATGTGCAGATACCACTGCTGCTCCTTTGAAAGGGAGCACAATAGGAGGTCCTGGTTAGAGTAAGAGAAAAAGTGGAACAAAACCCAAAATCATAAAAAAGACTAGGCCCACTGGTGGAATTGGACTGCAAGGTCCGTTTGAACCACAGGGTCAGCAGTTTAAGCTCACCAGCTGAAACTGACCCTTAGACATTCTTCAGGCTTGGGAATGAATTTACCCTCAATTATCAGCCAAAGAACAGACAGGCCTATACAGTGAACAATGACACTAGGCAGGTACTTACTCCTTAGAAGGATAAACCATAGGAGGCCAAATGGCAGCACTTGCCCAATAAGGGATAGAAAAGGACAATGGAAATGGGAAACACAAGAAGGAAGTGAAATGAATGCTGTTACATTATGGGGATTGCAATCAATGCACAAATCAAAATGTGTATGAACTGTTGAATGGAAAACCAATTTGCTATGTAAACTTTTACCCACATCACAAAAAAACAGGTTAAAAAAAAAAAATTGGAAACTCCATGGGTTTGGAAACTCCGTGGGTCCTGTAGGGTTGCTATGAGTTGTAACTGACTCAATGGCAATAGCAATGCGTAGCAACGTCTCTGAACCTGTTTTCCTGAAAGCACTTAGCTCAGTGTCATCACGTAATGGTGGTGGTGGTGATGACAATAAATGTTACCTCCAATCTTCATCCTTCCTGGTCTCGCTGGACACATTTTGGATGTCCCCACGCTTAGAATTCACAGCCAGGGGAGTGAAGGAAGGGATTGTGCTTACATCCATCAATGAATAATCAGCCCAATTTATTTTCTATACTCTCATTATTTCAACACTAAAGAGGAGGATAAAATGGGTGGAAGTGGCCAAACTTTTGCAGAGATGGGATGAAGTCCAGAGAGATTGTAAGGAAAAGAAAGAAAGGGACGAAAGGGGAGAGTCTTGGCTTCAACAGCAGGCAGGTTTATTGAGAGTAAACCTGGGAGGGGGTACTCTCATGTCACCAGAGGAGACCAAGAGCCGTCTGTTCCCTTACAGACTGGAGTATTTATAGTCCGTGTGGTCTGGGTATAGTACTGTAGTTCTGGCGAGTTTACAAAGGGTGGGGTATGGAGATTTGTGTGTGGGGTGGGGGTGGGGGAGTGGGGGGGAGAATGGTATGGAGATTTAGGCAGGGGTATGGAGATTTTCCTGAAACCTGGAATTTCAAGAGGTGTGGTCTCCAGGTGTAACAAAGACCCAGGCTTCCCGGGAGATGGGAAGCTCAAGCAGGACCCCATTCAGTGTCAATTGGGGTAGTTGCAATGCCATTCTGTTGATCAGGCGCAAAGTCCTTCAGGATGGTCCTAAATTCCAAGATTCCGTCCATGGCTCACCCCAGCTCCATTGAAAGGAAGCACTGCATTGCCATCACAGTCTCAAAGGAGCAATCACTAAATTAATCAGCAGACTCAAAGCCAAGAGCAAACTTTGCATTTCTGTAGCAAAGATTAGGGGGCCTTTGCAGAAGTAATTGCCACCTCTCCTAATCTCTAGCTGTGTGCCTATTAGCATCCTATCAAAATGGATGAGTAGAGAAAGAGTACCAGGTAAATGGAAGTACAAAGACTACCCTGAAGGAACGAGGATCTGACTCTCAGTTGTTTTTAAATACAATGAATATTTCTCTAAATGGTCCAGTGTCAACCATCTAGAGTGATTTTCTGGTTAACTCCTACATAGTCAGAATAAGCTAATATGTGAGGCACTCTCAAAGACATCCTTTAACTGACGAAAAAATGTATATGTTGTTGTTAAGTGCCTTCAAGTCGGTTCCAACCCACAGCAACCCTGTATAGGGTTTCTGAGGAGCAGCTGGTGAGCTTGAGCATCTCACCAGGATTCCAAAAATGTCGAAGTCCTAGTGTGGTGCTGTGGTATTGTTGTGGGTTAATGCGCCAGACTGTAAAGCTGTTTGAACCGCAAGGTTGGCGGTTCAAGCTTACCAGCAGCTCCTCGGAAACCCTATACAGGGTCTGTATGGATCAGAACCGAGTTGACAGCACGTAACAACAACAAATGTATATATATATATATATATATATATATATATATATACATATCTCCTAATGTGGCACTGTGGTTTACTGCGCTGGACTGCAAAGTTGGTTTGAACTAAAAGGTCGCCGGTTCCAGCTCACCAGCAGCTCCTCAGAAACCCTATACAGGGTCACTATGAGTTGGAACTGACTCAACAACAGCAATATATAGATAGATAGATAGATAGATAGATAGATAGATAGATAGATAGATAGATAGATAGATAGATACATATATTGCTAAAGGTTCAGGGCTCTGGACCCAGGGGTGGTCATCTTCCAGCATGTCTGGAAAGTCAGACTATGGGAGTGGCCAGGAAGGCAGTCACTCCATTTCTCTGACAAAGGGTTCCAGGGTGGTTGGCCTCAAAATATAGAGAAATTTATGATGTGAAGTATGGGGAAGTTTCACAAGGTAATAATTTGCAGTTGAAAGTGGCCTATTTTCAAGTTTTCTGTGACAACTGCCTAAGTGAGGAAACCCTATAGACCAGGGACTGGAAAATCAGGAAGGATAGAATGATGTCCCCATTCTTAAGGAATTGGCAAACTCCACAAAACTCCTGAAAGGGAAGGGCAATCTTACGCATTTCTAGAAACTAGAGAACCAACTCAACAGCCCTTAACAACAACAACAAGGGAAGAGTCCATATGAGTAAGAAAAGTATTACAGACCGAGACAGAATCTGGGTCCCCTCAGTGTCTGGTACCTCCATTATTGTCACTCAGTAAATGTCTCTTGACTGGTGATCAATGTATGGAAACTAAGTGGAGAAGCAAATGTAAGTAGGCCAAGGACAGGTCTCAACAGAGTTCCTACTCTTGCCTCATAGCTTACTTCCAGGCTTCTGTGGCCTGCCAATGCAGAGAAAACTAAGTGAGCATTTCTCAAGTTTGCTTATGAATGACACCTCTAAGTCAGGTTAGACTAAGCAATATTGCTAGAGGTAGCTGGCTAATTCACTTCTAAACAAGCCATAATCTCAACCTCCACAGAAAATTACACCCCCAGATAGAGGGTATTTCTGTAAGAGATCTCAGAGAAAGAGAAGCTACATGCTTCCTTAGCCACCCCTTCGATAATTTTCTTTGGGTGTTGTTTGCGGGAGAACATAAGGAGTATGAGGATTCTCAGAGTGAGCCAACCCGTTCCTCTTCACTTCTCACCATCACCTTTCCCCAACTCAGTCAAAGGAAGCAGAGAGCACAAGCCCAAGAAACTTGGTGAGGGTTCTGGGTGAGGGAAAGTTCAGAGGGAAAGCAGACAGAAGACCTCAACTGGCCCAAGAACAAGTTTGATGACCAGACACCGCAGGGATCTGGCTGGGGTAGATTCTGCAGACAATTCACTCAGTTCGTTGGGGAGCAGTCAGGCAACTGTGTGTCCTCTGGCTGTGCCTGTCAGGCTGGCCAGACTGCAAGATTAACTCACAGAGAGCAAGCAGAAGGAGGTTCATCAATAGGGGGAAAGCAATATTGGGTGACCATTGGGCAGAAAAGGGTAGAAGTTGGAGGGGAGAACAGGAGAAGGCTGCTCCTATGGAATCTTCTATTGGAAAGAGATTTGGAGTGATGTCAGAGGGCAAACAGTGCTAGTGAGAAAATGCAAGAGGAAGTGCCATGGGGTGGGAAAAGGGCAAGGACAGAGAAGTCTCTGAAAAATCTAGGAAAGGCACAGGTCTGTGAATACTTGTTGGGCTGGCAGTGAACAACACGGATAGGGTTATATAGAAGGACACATTTGTGGGAACAGGGCAAGGGTGGAATGTGGAGCTGTGGAGCAGGGCAGGACTGGAGTGGAGGCTGAAGGGGGCAGATGCTAGGAATTGGTTCAGTACTGAGATATAGAACAGAATTAGGGAGGAGGCAGAAGATGCAGAAAACATACCAGAAGTTGAGCTGCAGGGGTTGAGGGGTCAAGAAGGGGCTGAGGGAAAGACTCTAGGAGAAGGTAGGAGTTAGGAGGCAAGTAGAGGCTGGGGAGCAGGGTCTTGAGGAAGGCAGAGATGGTGGACTGCATTGCAAGAGAAGACTGGAAAAACCAATAAAGAGAAAATGCGATGGTGTATGGAGATGGGACTCAGGACTTGAGTCACCAAGGAGCTGAGATCCCAGCCCTATTCCCATCCCTCCAGACATTTTGGCACCTACCGACACCTGTGAGCTGGAGCAGGAGAAGATGCGCTTCATGGCCAGAGCCAAGGCCACGGGGGGACGGGGACGCGCGGAGAGCAGGGTCACAGGTTCCGAAACCCACGGGACTCAGCTGAGGCTGTGCAAGACACAGCTGTCAAAAGCAGAGCGGGCCCCGCCTAACCCCCGCCCATTCCCCGCCCATTCCATGCCCCAGGGTCCGCCCCAGGACCCGCCTCGCCCAGTTAGAGGTGAGAACCTGAGGGCTTAATACTCCGCCCCTGACCCTGTCCTACCTCGCCCCTGCAGAGGCAAAAAAAACCCGCAGTCTTCAGCTGCTGCAGAGGCCGGGTCTCAAGCTCCGCCCTTCTAAAACTCCCCGGCTAGGATCTGCTCAATCAGAGAAGGCACCCAAGGACTTGGCTGAAACTCCTCCTCCGGCTCCGCCTCCGCCCCAAGGTCCGGGCTGAGACTTCTCTACCAACCGCGTTTAAATTGGCTGCTCGGAAAGAGACTACAGGCATTATTCCCGTGTGCTCTTGTTTGAGTCGTTTTTATTATATGCAGAGACTTTTGTCCATTTAGTTACTTCTGCTTCCTAGGCACAAAAGAGGACATGAAGGGAGCAATTTGGAAACAAGAGATTGTAGTGCTGAGCCAGGACTGCGCGCGGATTACGCTCGGACCGCGAGCACCCTGGGGGACAAAGCCGGAGGGAAGAACCAGGCTCAACTTCCTAACGCACCTCGGGGTTTAAAAAGGACAGAGAAAGAAGAGACGATTTTTATTTTAACCCTCACCCCACTAAAAAATGTCAACTATCTTCACTGCTCTTCGGAGTTCAGACTCTCAGCAATTTTTGTCGAAACAATCGCAGCAGCCTGATCTGGTCTCGCCATCCTCCACCCAGGGACCAGAGTGGCCCCATTAAAATCCTTTTGAAAGTCTACAGCCCAAAGTTCTTAACACTTTACTGGGCCTGTCAAGAGCTGGACCCTGCTTTCCTCATTTCTCATTCTTTCCCCACAGTTCAATGCTCAAGTCTTTCTATTTACAGTTCCCTCGGTGATTGGTAAAGGAACCCTGGTGGTGCAGTGGTTCAAGCAGTCAGCGGCTAATCGAAAGGCTGGTGTTTGAACTCACCAGCTACTTTGAGGGAGAGAGACGTGGCGGTCTGCTTCCCTAAAGATTGTTGCTGTTGAGTGCCGTCAAGTGGGTTCCGACTCATAGCGATCCTGAGGTGGTAAATTTTCACCGAGCAGAACGCCTTATCTTTCTCCCGGGGAGCCGCTGCTGGGCTCCACCCACTGACCTTTAATGGTTCCCAGTCCGCATGGAAACCCTATGGGGCAGTTCTCTGTCCTACTGGGTCGCTGAGGCAGAACAGACTCGATGGCAACGGGTTTTGGTTGCTGTTGGTGATTTAAACTCCTTGGCATGCTTCTCCTCACTTTATGGACACCCAGGTCAAATGTTTCTTCTGTAAATCTTCCTCTTACAACTCTGCCACCTCCCTCCAACCCCCAACAAAGTGTGTGTCATGTGGGACATAATCCTCTGTGTGTGCTATTATTTGTTTACAGGTTTGTTTCTCTTACTATACTGGGCTGTTTGAGGGTTGTTGTACTCTTACACATGACAACCCCATGCACAGGGAAGGAAATGCACCCAGTCCTGCACCATCCCCACGATCCGTTGCTGATCATACTGCTGTGATCCATAGGGTGTTCATTGACTGATTTTCACAAGTAGATCACCAGACCTTTCTTCTTAGTCTGAAAGCTATATTGAAGGTTGTTGTTAGGTGCTGTTGAGTCAGTTTTGCCCATAGTGACCTTATGTACAACAGAAGAAAACACCATCCTGTCCCACACCATTCTCACAATTGCAGCCATGCTTGAGTCCACTGTGGCTGCCACTGTGCCAATTTAGCTCTTGGGGTTCTCCCTATTTTTTGCTGTCCCTCCACTTTACCAGCATGGTATCCTTCTCCAGGGACTGGTCCTTCTTGACCAGTATGAGAGACTTGTCCAAAGTATGAGAGACAAAGTCTGGCCATCTTGGCTCCTAAGGAGCATTCTGGTTGTACTTCTTTGAACACCGATTTGTTTGTTCTTCGGACAGTCCATGTTACAGTCAATATTCTTCTCTAACACCACAACTCGAATGCACTAATTCATTGTCCAACTTCTACATGCTATTGAAAATGTTATGGCTATTGAAATACTATGGCTTAGGTCAGGTGCACTTTAGTCTTCAGACTAACATCTTTGTTCTTGAACACTTTATAAAAAGGTCTTGTGCAGCAGATTTGCCTAACGCAATACACTGTTCGATTTCTTGACGGCTGCTTCCATGTGTGTTGATGGTGGATACAGGCAAAATGAAGTCTTTGATCACTTCCGTCTTTTCTCAATATGTCATGATGTTATTTAACTGGTCTAGTTGTGAGGATTTTTTGTTTTCTTCACACTGAGGTGCTATATCCATACTGTGTTCTGTGATCTTCATCAATAAGTAGTTTAAGTCCTCTTCGCTTTCAGCAAGCAAGGTTTTATCATCTGCATATCGCAGATTGTTAATGAGTCTTCCTCCAATCCTGATACCATGTTCTTCGTGTAATACAACTTCTCAGTTTATTTGCTCAGCATCCAGATTGAATAATTATGGTGAAAGAATACAACCCTGGTGCACACCTTTCCTGATTTGTCCCCTTGTTCTGTTCGAACAGCTGTTTCTTGGTCTATGTACAAGTTCCTCATGAACACAATGAAGTGTTCTGGAATACTCATTCTTCGCAATGTTGTCCATAGCTTGTCAGACCCACACAGTTGAAAACCTTTGCATAGTCAATAAAGCACAAGTAAACATCTTTGTGGTATTCTTTGCTTTATTTTATTCGAAGGTAAGAGTTGTGTTTTCTAATATTTCCATTAAGCACATGCCATGTGCTTAATGTTTGATGAGTAAAAGAAATAAAAAATGAACGAAGAGAGAGAAAAGGAGTAACAATAAAAAGGAAAGGAACACTTAGGGGTGGGGGCCCGAGAGCTTGCTGTTGCTAGAGGGGTTTTTCAACCTGCTCTGCTCCAAAAGATGGAATAACTGGCCTAATGAAATAAAGGTTGGGGTTAGCAAAAGCACCATCCTGGAGCTGAGAGATAGAGAGAAGAACCATCTGCAGGTAGACAGAAATATTAAAAGTGCTTTTAAAATTATTTACAGGGCTGATGTTGTTATGTGCCATGGAGTCAGTTCTGACTCATAGTGACCCTGTACAGGGTTTCCGAAGCTGTAAATCCTTAAGGGAGCAGAAAGCCTCATCTTTCTCCCGCTGAACAGCTGGTAGTTTCGAACTGCTGACCTTGTGGTTCACAGCCCGATTCGTAACCACTACGCTACCAGAGTAGAGGGTTGTTTTTGTTAAATGCTGTCAAGTAAGTTTCAATTTATGGCAACCCTGTATAGTTTCTAGAGTGGCTGATGAGTTTAGACCACCAACTTTGTGGCTGGTTAGCAGTCCAATGCTTATCCTACAGCACCATGTTAATGGGTGATGAGGAAGGCAATACACATCAAGAGGGAGCTTGGTAGAGGAAAGATGAAGGTGGCGGGCAAACACAGGGAGCAGTTCAAGAGTTAAAGTGATTAGAGCTCTGGTAGTGTAGTGGTTACGGAATCGGGGTGTGAACCGCAAGGTCAGCAGTTCAAAACTACCAGCTGTTCTGCAGGAGAAAGATGAGGCTTTCTGCACCCATAAAGATTTATAGCCTTGGAAGCCTGTACAGGGTCACTATGAGTCGGAACTGACTCCACGGCACATAACAACATCTGTGAACTGATGGTACATGGAGAGGACTGCAATCAGTATAAGGACACGATGTGTATGATTTGTTGAATGTGGGACTGATGATCTGTTCTGTAAATCTTTACTCAAATCACAATAAAGTTGTTTTTTGTTTTTGTTTTTTAGTGCTTTTAAAATCACATGGATAACGAATATGATGAACCAGTCTTCTTGGGGGTTCTGATGTTTTTAGTTGCCTTATATTGATTGATTCTGACTCATGGCAGCCCCATGTGTGTCAGAGTAGAACTGAACTTCATAGGGTTTTTAAGGTTGTGACCTTTTGGAAACAGATCACCAGGCTTGTCTTCTGAGGCTCCTCTGAGTAGGTTTGAACCACCAACATTTCAGCGAGTAGTCAAGCACCTAACCATTGAAGCCACCCAGTGATTCCCTTTGGGGTGACTGAGATAGCTCAACTCCAACTTCAGAAACAGAATACTCCAAGAAGGCTAATCTGACTATGTGAAGTTCTCTGAGAGCGACCAGAGACCCTGCCACAAAATAGCTCTCTCACCAGCTTGCCACAGGATGGCTGTCCCTTTTCATTTAGGCCATCATTCTCAAGGTTAGGCAACAGAGACAGAGAGATGGGCTCTAGAAGGCTTAGTGTACATGTTCCTAGGGAATGCTAGAAGGAACCTGGATGTCTAAAGAGATAGATTTCATTTCTACCACTAGTCCTGATGTGGTGCTGTAGAATAAGCACTGGGCAGCTAACCACAAGGTTGAAAGTTCAAATCCACCAGCTGCTCCTTGGAAACCCTATTCAGGGTTGCTATGAGTTGGAAACGACTTGATGGCACTTAAGAACATTAGAACCTTAAGTTAGTTAGCTGTTTACCACCTGAGAGCACATGAAGGATTTATTCCAAAGGGATTGAGGTACCGGATAAGATTTAGTGAGAGGACACAGAAGCATTTAGAAGAAACAAATCTTCAAAGTGTGTGGAGGGGCCCAAGAGTACCACCCGGTGCTTTAGTATACCTTTCTCCTTAATTCTCACAGTAGGGTAGATTATTTCATAACAATTAACAAATAAAAACAATTTTAAAAACAAAACAAAAACAGTTGCCATTGAGTTGACTCTGACTTGGGGTCAGAGTAAAACTGTGCACCATAAGTTTACAAGGCTGTGATCTTCTGACAAGAGATTGCCAGGCCTTCCTTCCAAGGCACCTCTGGGTAGGTTGACACTGTCAACCTTTC